GTGGGTCCCCTGCCGGGAACTGGCCTGCAACCCAGGCATGTGCCCTGACCAAGAATAGAACAGGGGACCCTTTGGTTTGCAGGCCTGCGCTCAATCCACTGAGCTACACCAGCCAGGGCTAATTTTATTTTTTAATCATGTAAAACTATGTACATTTTCTTTTTTTTAATCAAATTTATTTATTTATTTTCATACATTTTCTAAAAGATTTTATTTATTTATTTTTAGAAAGAGGGGAAGGGAGGGAGAAAGAGAGGGAGAGAAGCCTCAGTGTGGGAGAGAAACACAGACTGGTTGCCTCTCACTTGCCCCCAACTGGAGACCTGGCCTGAAACTAAGTAAGGCATGTGCCCTGACTGGGAATCGAACTGGCAACCTTTCAGTTCACAGACCGGAGCTCAGTCCTCTGAGCCACACCAGCCAGGGCTGAAGTTATTAATTTTATATAACTATCTGTGATAGCCTGATATGACATTATTTATTTCCTATAACTATATTATTGCTTGATACAGTGTTATTTGTTTTATACAAATATATCTCATTATCTGATACAATGTTATTTATTTGCTTAAAGTCTGCCTGCTTCTAACACTCACCTGGTGCCACCAAGAGACAACAGCAGCTGAAGGTGGAGCAGGGGCTTCTGGGTACTGCATGACCGGAGATGATGGGACTTCAGCCTGGCACCAAGGAGGGCTTCCTGGAAGAAGAGTAATTTGAGACCCCAGTCAGATGAGCTAGGGAGCTGAGCTCAAATTGGAAGCTGGGACAGACTCCTTTTTTTTTTTTTTTTTTTTTTGAGAGGACGTGTGTTTATTAAACAGTGAAACAAGCAAGGGCTTAGCACAGGAGAAGCAACCAGAGGGAGCCCGGTCATGGCCGCTGTCCGCTCACCGAGAAATAAAAGTCACAGCGACAGAAGTGGGCCACGGTGGGGCTGCTATTAAACCACCGTGGAGAGTCAGAGAAAAAGGGGCCTTGGAGACAGGACCAGGGGCTTAGCCCAGGACGAGCTGCCCGCTGCCCCACTGCTCTCCTGGTTGCGATCCAGGTGGGGACCCTTGGAGTCCAGGAGATGCACACCTGCGGGGCGGGGAGAAAGGCGTGGCAGGCTCCTGAGCGGGAGAGCACGCCTGACTCCTTTTTGAGAAGGACTCTGAGGCTCCCAGGGAATGGCCACCTGCCCGCGGACATCCCACCAGACAGAGCTGCGACCTCCCTCCCATGTCCTGGCCCTGCAGCATTATCCACCCCTTCTCCCAGCCTCCTGGGTTGGAATGCAGCCTCACAGACCCAGTCTTGAGCCTCCTTATCTTGCCACGCCCGGAGCTGCGCCTGGCAGCGATCCCAGCTCCATAAATATTTGCTGCCCAAGCTCCGCCCCCTTCCCCACCTCTCCGGGGCCTGAGCCCAAGAGGTGCCCGCCTCCCAGTCAGCTCTTTTGTCTCAAGGAGAAATTGGGGGTGGAGGGTGTTGATGGAACCAGAAAGAAGGAAGTGACCCACCCAAAGTCACCAGGAGAGGGGGGCAGAGAGAGAGAGAGAGAGGGAGAGACAACCGGGATGCTTCCATCCCCTTTGACGGGATGGTATCTGTGGCCACTGTTCATTCTGCACCCATTCTCCCGAAATGGGAGCCTCGCAGTGTCTCCAAGTGGAGACCCCGGGCGCGCCCTCCTGGGCTTCTGACTCACAGAAACCGTGAGCTAATGAAGGAGGGGCCGGTCTTCAGCTGCCACGGTGGCGGTTGCCAGGGGTTGGGGTGAGACAGGGATGAGCAGGTGGAGTACAGAGGACTCTAGGGCAGTGAAAACACTCTGCTTGATGCTGTAAAGATAGATACATGTCATTACACATTTGTCTCCCTCCACTGACTGTCCCCACACTGAGGGTGAACATGCCCGTGGGGGCTCATCGATTGTAACAAATGCAGCGTCTGGTGGGGGTGTTGATACTGAGGAGGGCTGTGCATGTCAGGGTGGCGGGGGCAGGGGATGCGTAGGAAATCTCTCTGCCTTCCACTTCATCTTGCTGGGCCCCTAAAACCGCTCTAAAAAAAAAATAAAATGTATTACTTTAAAAAAGAACTAAAATGCAAATCAAGAAAGCGATGCTGCCCTGGCTGGTGTTTCTCAGTGGATTGAGCACTGGCCTGTGAACCAAAGGGTCGTTGGTTTGATTCCCAGTCAGGGCACATGCCTGGGATGTAGGCCAGGTCCCCAGTAGGGGGCGCACGAGAGGCAACCACACATTGATGCTTCTCTCCTTCTCTTTCTCCCTCCTGTCCCCTCTCTCTAAAAATAAATAAATAAAATATTTTAAAAGAAAGTGATGTTGTTGGTTATCCTGTGGCTATGACTGAAAATAGTTCTGTTAAATGGTTGGCGGAGGAGGGGGGCGTTGGTTAGGGCTCTGCGTTAAAATGACCCAGGCATCCAACCCATCACCCCCCCTCTCACTGGGGACAGGGAGTTTTAATAGCTTGATTGACATACAACTCCCACAAACACACCATTTGTCCATTTAAAGGGTAAAACTCGTCCCGACCGAATAGCACCGTTGGTTAGCACCTCCTCCCCATGCGCCAGGTTGCAGATTCCATCCCGGGTCGGGGCACCTCCAAGAAGCCACCACTGAATGCATGAAAAGGTGGGACAAGAAGATGGTGTTCCTCCCTCTGTTAAATCATTAAATTAAAAAATTAAAAACAATAAAATAAAGAGTACAACTCAGTGGCTTTTGGAGATGGGCAACCATCCTTATGGCCAATTTTAGAGCATTTCCACCACCCCAGAAAGAAACTTCTCATCCCTTATGAACCCCCCACCCTCTCTAGCCCCAGGCACCACGGCGCGTTCTGTCTGAGGTTTGCCTGGGAGGGGGAGGGGCTGCTGGCTCTGCTCTCTCTCTCTCTCTCTCTCTCTCTCTCTCTCTCTCTCTCTCTCTCTCTCTCTCTCTCTCTCGTAGCCTCAGAACCTGCAAACCTGCCTGATACATTGTAGCGAAGAGGTAGGCAGGTGTGCTCCATAGTTATTTGACTAATGTCCATTTTCGTTTGAATCCTACTCATGAGTGACTTCTGCTCCAAGGCCTCTTCCTCCGCTGCCACTGTCCCATAGGGACTTTCCAGAGTCCCCTCTGGGTTCCACTTTGTCACATGCATTAGAGTAGGTAACGCCGTGCTAGGGATGGCCAGCTCCTGTTCATGGCCCCTCCCAGACTCCTCCCACCCCAACACCCACCCACAGGGGCGGAATCTCTCTGCTCCTCTCTGTCCCAGCTCAGGCCTCAGGAACTGTGTGTTGAATTTGACCAGACACCAGGTCCATCCGAAACCTGGAAAATGCAGTGATTCTGAGCCCAGGTCTCCGGGTTTCTAGAAAGATCCAACAAGGTCTGCTCTGCAGTCCTGGAATGCTGGCTCTGCCAAGTTATGTTTCCATTTTTCTCAAAGACTTTATTTATTTATTTTTAGAGAGAGGGGAAGAGAGGGAGAGAAACATCAATGTGTGGTTGCTTCTCACACGCCCCCTACTGGGGACCTGGTCTGCAGCCCAGGCATGTACCCTGACTGGGAATCAAACCAACGACCCTTTGGTTCGCGGGCCAGTGCTCAATCCACTGAGCCACACCAGCCACAGCTATGTTTCCATTTTAATGGAATGCTGGGTGTTACCTGTTCTAAAGAAGGTGACAAGGTGGGGCCCGGAAGTGACTCTGAAATGTCCAAAAGTAACAAGGTGGCCCTGGCCAGGTGGCTCAGTTGGTTGGAGCGTTATCCGGTATCCAAAAGGTTGCGGGTTCAATTCCTGGTCAGGGTACATGCCTAGGTCGTGGGTTCAATCCCTGTTTTGGGGTGAATTCAGGAAGCAACTGATTGATCGATGTTTCTTTCTCTCTCTGAAATCAATATACACATACTCAACCTCGGGTGAGGATTTAAACCAGTAACAAGGTGAAAATAATTTTGATAGTATGTCTCATTCACTCAGCACAGTGCATTCTTCTCCTCGAATTGTTGGTGTCCCTCAGTGAGGTCGAGTCCCCTCGTTCACAGTCATTCTGGTCTGCAGAGTCACAGAGAACACAAAATGACTGACGCTGAACTGCCGCCCCGGGGCCAACACGGGGTCAGGTCCTTGCGAGCCCTTGGTCACTCCATACTCACTAACTGGTGAACACGCAACCTTGTTCTCTGAGTGTCTCTGCTCAAAGACCCCTTACTTAGCGCCTGTTGCTGGTTCCCTGACGTGGAACTCAGGGCCAAGGGCGCTGTCACTCAGGACCGAAAGACGCTCCTCCAACACCCGGATTTTCTCTGCGGGGCACAGAACTGGACGTACCCAGCGCTTCAGTCCTGGGGGCCGCTCCAAACCACAAGACCACACAAAGGACAGCACAGGGGCACCCCCCGACGTGCACAGGGACAGTTGCTCAGGGGGGGTGACGGAGGAAATAGGCAGGGCGTCCTCTTGTTCCTGCTGGGCTGGGAACATGTGCCAGCGACTCAAATTTTCCGACACGCTGTGACTGCGGATTTGGGGGTCACCCGGACATTTCCGTGGGCAGGCAAGTTTGCAAATAGGGAAGCCGAGAATGTGGAGATTGACTGTGTATCCGAAGCACCGAGCCATCGCGTGATTGCTATGAGCCCTGTCAGGGAGGCAGCTGCCATTCTCTTTTTGGTGCTAAGTTGTGGAAATCCCCCGTGTATTTTATGCTCCCATCTGAATTAGAACCAGCCACGTGTCCACAGGGCTGCAGCCTCGCCTGGCCAGTGGCTTCTGCATCTGTCTACCTCTAGCCTTCTTTGGATCCTCTGAACTAAAAAAAAAAAAAAAGGGGGGGGGACCTATGAACTTAAAAGGGACCTATGAACTTAGAAAATAAAAATAAGAAAATCCAGGCCAGGTAGAACCACTGTGCAGCGCTGTGCTTCTGTGGCCAAGGAAGGCGCGCGCGCACGCAGGGTCTGTTCTGAGCCAGGAATTCCACCGCGAGGCCAGCGCCCCGGAGAGAGCGTGCACTTAAGCGCAAGTCAACACGTGTAAGAATAGTCTTTGCGCCCCGTCTTGGAGGAGCGACACGTTGGAGAAACACAAGCCGCCCGTCATCAGAAGGATGGACCTTGGGAAATACAGCATGTCCACGTCTTTGCAAAGGAGAGAACTTGAGCTTCATGTCGCAACGCGGAAGACACTCACAAACCGGGCGCTGCGCTAATGAGGACAAAGGCAGCTGCAGAAGGTCACAGGCATGATACTATTTATACAACATTTAACAACATGCAAGGCGATACTCTATAGCGGTTATCGGTTTATGCATATGTAGCAAGAGCACTTTTTTAAAAAATTGCAGACGCCTCCTTAGGAACAGGGGTGACTTCTGGGAGGGAAAGGCATTTAGAGGGGGGGTTCCGATTACATTTGAAAAAGTTGTCTTTCTTCGGCTGGATGGTGATGGCCAGGTGGGGACTCATGATACTATTCGGGATATTTTAGGCGGGTGTTTGCCTGGAATAGTCTGCTCTGCAGGGAGTCACAGCAACGTTCTGTGCTACCTGGTCAGAGACACTGAGGGGTGGGGAGGACCTGCGGCCTGTCTGTGCCTTGAAAAGTAACAGTCCCCCCGCCCCCCCGTCGCAGGTAGATGGAGAGGATGAAACGTGCTTCCTGCACAGGTGCGCTTGTGCCATCGGAACTGCCGGAGGAGTATTGTTTAATAATAGTAACATCGTGAAGTGCTCTCTCTTCCAGGTGCCGAGTTTACACCTGTCTTCTATTATCTGATTTAACAACACTTATTCGACGTAAATGTGAATAAACCAAGAAACACCGCGGTGTGACAAAGAGAAAAGAACTTGACCTGCAAAGATGGGAGGGACACACTCTCATAGGCTCGTTGAAAATCTTTATCTTCGCAGACAAAAGAAATCGATTTAATGTTACCGCTTTTTTTTCCCCGTTTCACAAATGTTTCAAAAATATTTTTTCCAATTACAGTTGACATTCAATATTATATTAGTTTCAGGGGTATAGCATAGTGGTTCGATATTTATATAATTTGTGAAGCGATCACCCCGATAAGTGAAGCCCCCACCTGACGCCATACGTAGTTATTGCGATATCGTCGACTATATTCCCTGTGATATATTTTACATCCCCATGCTTTTTCTGTTTTTGTTTCTTTCTTTTTTTTTTATCCCTTTTTTTTGGCCCAAAGATGGCATGAATGAGCCTGGTGGTTTACGTTGAAAAGTGCACAGTCTTTGATGTGTGAGTTAAAAACTTTTAGGTGCTCTTCCAGGATACAATGAATATAACATATTCATTACATCTATTTGAAAAAAATGCAAAAAATATATGAATAATATCTAAAATACTGGGTGAGGCAAAAGTAGGTTTACAGCGGCGAGTATGCAAAACACGGTTTATTCCTGTGTTATTATTTTTTAAAACAATTTTAATATTTTATTTATTTATTTTTGCGAGAGAGGGTAAGGGAAGGAGAAAGGGAGAGAAATATCAATGTGTGGTTAACCGCCTCTCGTGAGTCCCCTGCTGGGAACTGGCCTGCAACCCCGGCATGTGCCCTGACTGGGAATCGAACCGCGATACTCTGGTTCACAGGCCCGCGCTCAATCCACTGAGCTACACCAGGCAGGGCGGGATTTGTGCTTTTTGCTGCTGGAAGGTCTTGCCTTCAATATGTAAAGAAACTCCAGGGTGGAAATGGGAGGGAGGTGGGAAGCACCTGGGAAGTGGGCTGGGATGGGAGTAAAAGACAGAAAACTGTACTTGAACAACAAAAGAAAGAAAGAGAGAGAGAGAGAGAAAGGAAGGAAGGAAGGAAGGAAGGAAGGAAGGAAGGAAGGAAGGAAGGAAGGAAGGAAGGAAGGAAGGAAGGAAGGAAAGAAAGAAAGAAAGAAAGAAAGAAAGAAAGAAAGAAAGAAAGAAAGAAAGAAAGAAAGAAAGAAAGAAAGAAAGAAAGAAAGAAAGAAAGAAAGAAAGAAAGAAAGAAAGAAAGAAAGAAAAACTCCACACGTGCCAAGGACAAGGAAACGAGATAAACAATGCATAGTAGGTGTTGGTGTTTAAGAGTAATACTGTGGGTAGGCACTGCAGTGCTGCCAGGTAGATAAGGAGGAAACTGAAGCACACCGGGTGGGACGCTTGGCCCTGGGGCGGGGGGCGGGGGCGGGGCAGCCCGGAGGGGTCACCAGAAGGCGCCCTTGGGCCCGCGCTGGCGGCAGGAGGCGCAGAGCCCAGCTGCTGAGAGGGGTGTGTGCGTGCGGCGGCCGAGGCTGGAGCCGCGCCCGCCCACACCCGCCTCTCCAGGTCACTCCGGGTGACCCCGCCGAGTGGCCGTTGCTAAATGGGGAGGTGCAAAGCTCTCGGGATCATCGACGAGCCTCTCCGCGGGGGGTGTGTGTGCTGGGCGGGCTCTGGAGGGCCCAGGCCCGCGCGCCCCGTGCGCTTGCCCGGCTTCTGGGGTCCCAGGTGGCCGCGCCGCGTCCTGACCTTTCGGCGCTGCCTGGCGAGGCAGAACTGCCGTGCGGACTCCCGGCGAGTCCGGAGGGAGGCGCTGCACTCCAGCCGGTGCCGGTCACCGGGGCCTGTCATCCCGGCTGCGCCTCCCTGGGGCTGCCGCCCAAACGCCTGTCCCCACCAGTAAACTGGAAACCGTCATTCTCCCAGGGCAGACCTTGCCAGGGGCACTCCGCAAGGTCACGAATGAATTTTTAAAAGAGAGAGAGAGTCAGGGCCCGGCACCTGATAGCAGGGACTAGTCATAGTCCGCATTATGTCATTGCTTTTATGTCTGAACAGGTAACAGACGCTGGAAGGAAAATTCGAGTAACCCAGAAGGCAGCGTGATAAAAGGCCCCCTGACTCCTCCCAATTCAGGAAAACTGGACACGGACGGGGGTGGGGGGGGGAGCAGCTGACTTTAAGGAAGAGTTAAGGCCCCCGCATTGGGACTCTCAGTGTCCTAGTCGGGCTGGAAATGACCCTGATTTTTCAGATTTAATCCTAATCCGAGGATATGTCTATTGATTTGAGAGAGAGCGAGAAGAAGGGAGAGAGAGAGAAAAACATTGTGATGAAAGAGAAACACTGATTGGTTGCCTCCCATACGCCCCCCACACCCCCACAGGGTGGGGGGCAGAACCCGCAAATTTTTCGTGCACAGGAGAAAGACGCTTCCACCCATTGAGCCACCCGGCCAGGACACCCTAGCTTTCCACGGAGCTGAAAACCCACATTGTTGCCGCAACAATGTAGTATGTCGCCTGTAGCTTCTTTGGATGGCGTGGAGCTTTCTCGTGAGGGAAACACGTTCGGCAGACCCACAAACAAAAAAGAAAAAGGGAGCCCTTTGTTGTCAAGTATCAACAAGCCCGTGGGCCTGTTACTACGCTCCCAGCGCCTGTGCCAGGTTGCATTTCTTTGGCGGGAGTGTTTGAAAGCAAACATCGGGCAGCCTGTCATCTCACCCCGAAGTTTTTCCATAGGCTGTAATTTACTTTAAAATAGTTGATTTCTCCCCGCCCCCCCCGCCCCACCCCTCTAAGAAAGTAGATAAAGGGGGGCATGCAGTTCTTGGTGGTGAGGTCAGTCAGTGGCTGAAGACTGTTCTTTGGTGGCTCTTCTTACCTTTCCTGTATATTGGCAGTTCTGCACAATCGAACCTCAAAGAGCAAAGGACATTTTCCCTCTGCCCCCTCCCCTGTCCCACCCGGCCCCGCCCCCACCCGGGGCCCCAGGCGCAACACTGAAGCCAGTTTCCGGGGATCCTTCCAGAGTGTCGGTGACGGGCGCTGCGGTCTTTATTAATAGCAGGCTGTAGTAGTGGTGAAAGCTGAGCCGGGCCGACCTCAGGGCCCTGACTCAGCCTGGCCCAGGTCCTGCCGACACCTCCAGCCCGTGTAAGGCGATCTGGCTCTCGGAACCTCAGTTTCCTGCTCTGTGAACTGGGGAGAAGTCCCCATCTTTGTCGGGTGGCTGGGAGGGTCCTGTGTGAAGGACTGGCCCCCTCTCCAAGCCTGGCTCGGAGCCAGTGCTGAGGACGTGGGAGAAGCGCTTTGCACACACATTTCTGAGCTCTGAGCTCCTGGGTCTGAGGGAGGAGAAACTAGGGACCTGCACCCCTGAGTCTGAGTGAGGAGGGGCTTGGGGCCTGGACTCCAGGGTCTGAGGGAGGAGGGGCTGGGGGCCTGGATTCCAGGGTCTGAGGGAGGAGGGGCTGGGGGCCTGAACCCCTGGGTCTGAGTGAGGAGAGGCTGGGGACCTGGATTCCAGGGTCTGAGGGAGGAGGGGCTGGAGGCCTGGACCCCCTGGGTCTGAGGGAGGAGGGTCTGGGGGCCTGGACCCCTGGGTCTGAGTGAGGAGAGGCTGGGGGCCTGGACTCCAGGGTCTGAGGGAGGAGGGTCCGGGGGCCTGGACTCCTGAGTCTGACGGAGGTGGGGCTGGGGGCCTGGACCCCTGGTGCCATGATGCGGCACTTCAGGAATGGCCTCCCTGGCCCCTCAGCCCAGCACTCCGTGCCCGGGGAAGAGCCAGAATGCACAGAGCTCCACGTCATCCAGGCCAGGTAAGGCTTGTGAGGGGCCTGTCTCCCCTTTTCCTGCAGCACTCAGGCCTGGTCCCTGGGGGGGGTCACAACATGTTTTGTCCCCTCTGTCCTGGGACTACAGCCCAGACTCCAGGCTGGTCTAAGTTTGGAAGGGGGAGGAGGGGAGCAGCAGGTCGGAGGGGGTGAGGGAGGGGTGTGTGGGGGGACAGGATGTCTCTGAGTTGTCACACACACCCCTGTCCCAGGCCCAGAAGAAGGGAGGGACAAAAGGCTCTGAGCGGGAGTTGGGAACAAAGACAGGAGGGGAGACAGAGAGAGAGAGAGGGACCCGGGAGAGGAGGCCACAGGGAGCCAGAGTGAAGGGAAAACCGAGAAATGGAGAAGGGGAGGGGACAGCAGAGCCGGGACATCCCGGACCACGGACCGCAGCAACCGCGGTGAAGACAGTGTGTTGACAGGAGAGCGGAGCCAGGGGCTGACAGAGACACGGCAGGGAGGCCCCCCAGGGAAACCCGAGAGCAGAGGAGGGCCAGGCGACGACAGGGAGGGGGAGGGAGAGGAAGAGAGGGTGAGAGGCAGTGAGAGACGCCCACAGGATCATACAGAGCTGGACCCACAGACACCGAGGGGTGACAGAGAGAAGAGGGGACTCAGGGAGACTCCCAGAGACGCCAGGGAGACCGAGGCAGACCTGTTCGGACGAGCTCCCAGACGTTGGACCAGTGGGGTGCAGTGGACTTGAGTGGGCCAGTCATCTTTTGGGGGAGCCCAGACGAGGGGGAGCCCAAGGGCCAGCGGACACCAGGCAACCCTGAGATGCAGCACAGGGATCCTGAGAACCACGAGGATGGGGACTCAGAGGTGAGAGATGGGGCTCGAGGGAGGAAGAGAGAGAGAGAGAGAAAGACGGAGACAGAGAGAGGGCCAGGGCCAGGGAGCAGACCCAGAGGGTCCAAGGAAGAGACAGAAGTGACGGGGAAATGGAGAAACATCACAGACCCAGAATGAGACAAACTCAAGGACACACAGCAAGGCCAAGGCCGCTGAGAAATGGGCTCAGCGACTGGGGACAGAAAGCCCAGGGGCGAGGAACATGGAGGCGGGCGGGCGGGCAGAGCAGGGGGCTGTGTCAGGGAGGACGCAGTTCCAGCTGAAGCCGGGGGGTCCGTGGGCTCCCACAGATGTCAGTGGGTGGGGTCCCTGAGGCAGTCACCCCTCACCCCCGCCAGGACACAATAGCAGGTGTCCCGAGGCTGGGTGAGTCACTGTGACTCATCCTCCTCTCTGGGGACGGTGACCCCACCCTCTGACCCCCCACATCAGGCCAGGAGTTGGCCTCCAATCTGCCTCCCCGCTCTCAGTGGGTCCAAGACTCAGCCTGTCCCCACCCACCCCTGTCCCTCCCCCTCAGGAGGACACGGACACGGCCCTCCGGCGGCTGGTGGAGCTGACAGCCCCCAGGGTGACCACAGAGAGGAACCTGCGAGCCCAGTATCGCCTCATCCGAAAGCTCGGCTCCGGCTCCTATGGCCGAGTTCTCCTTGCTCAGCCTCGACAGGGGGGTGAGTTCGGCTACCGAAAGGTGCACGCCAGGACTCCCCCCCGGACGGTTCTCAGAAGCTGCCCAGACACGGAGCATCTGGATCTGGGGCCGAGGGGACTGGGCCGGGGGGTGGCCTTCCTGATCGGAGCTCTCGGAAAGTTGAGAGAGCCCTGTGACCTTCTGAGAACCAGAGCCCCCACCCAGAGAGGGTGTGAGACTTGCCTGACACCACACAGCAAGGCCAGAGCGCCCTAAGTCTCCCCTTCCTTCCCCGTCTCCCTGGCAGGTCCGACCGTGGCCCTGAAGCTTCTACGCCGGGACTCCGTCCTGAGAGCCACCTTCCTGAGGGAGTTCTGCGTAGGCCGCTGCGTCTCCGCACACCCGGGCCTGCTCCAGACCCTGGCGGGGCCGCTGCAGACCCCCCGGCACTTCGCCTTTGCCCAGGAATACGCGCCCTGCGGGGACCTCAGCGGGATGCTACAGGACAGGGTGAGGCGGGCGGGGCGCGACGTTGGGACTGCTTATCCCGAGCGCGGCTGGGTCCAAAAGCTCACGTCTATTCCCAACCCCGACCCTGAAGTCATTGCCCAGCTTAGCTCCACCCTAAGCCCCCGAAACGACATCCTGTGTGATCTCATGTCTGACCCTAACCCTAATTCATCCAAACACGAGCTTGGATGGGCAGGGTTTGGGGTTGGCTTGAGAGAGGACTACGTCTGATGAAGGGGTGGGTGCACAGACGGAGCTGGGGTTCTCGTTAGTGGTGGAAGTGGGAGTGGGGACATGAGTGGATCGGATGGGCTCAGTTTAGGGTTGATTACAGACCGGGAATGGGGTGGAGAAGAGCACGGGTGGGGTGCAGAGTGAGGCAGAGGGTGCTGAGGATACGTGTACCGATCACCTTGGAGAGGGGCTGACCCGGTCTCCTCCTCTAGGAAAGAGACCGGGTCAGCTAAATCCATGAGACTTTGGGAGCGCTTGAGTATGAAGATGAGGGTGGACCAGCTTTGGGAACAGGCTTTGGGTTTGAGTTTGGGTTGGGAATGAATGGAAGGAAGGAAGGAAGGAAGGAAGGAAGGAAGGAAGGAAGGAAGGAGGGAGGGAGGGAGGGAGGGAGGGAGGGAGGGAGGGAGGGAGGGAAGGGAGGGAGGGAGGGAGGGAGGGAAGGAAGGAAGGAAGGAAGGAAGGAAGGAAGGAAGGAAGGAAGGAAGGAAGGAAGGAAGGATGGATGGATGAGGGGTGATGGATGGATGGAAGGAAGTCAGGGAAGAACGAATGGATGGATTTTGGATATTAAATAATTGATTAAATTATGGGGCTGCTGAGTGGCTGGTGGCATGGACGTTGAATAGAACCACTGCAGACTAGACTGTTGGGTGGATAGCTGGCTTGATGGATGGGGTGCCGGCTGGCTGCCTGGGTGGATAGATCTGTTGCTCAATCGACGGAGTGAACTGTGAGAGTTAGAGCAAGGTCTGAGCCGGAGGTGGGATCTAAATTAGCATGGGATTAAGTAGAAAGTATGGAGTTTGCCCCGCCTGGTGTGGCTCAGTGGATTGAGTGCTGGCCTGTGAACTGAAAAGTCACTGGTTCCATTCCCAGTCAGGGTACATCCCTGGGTCGTGGGCCAGGTCCCCAGTTGCGGGTGTATGAGAGGCAACCCAGATGCTTCTCTCACACATCGATATTTCTCTCTCCCCTTCTCCTCCTGCCCCCTCTCTCTAAAAGATAAATACAATAAAAAATAAGGTGAGGGTTTGTGTTCTCATTGGAGGGGATTGGAGTAGTCAGTTTAGAGGCGGTGAATAAGAAATGCAAGGAATGGGTTTGAGTGTTAGGGTCAGGAGCAAGTGTGATGGAGGCTAAAAGCCCTTCTGGTTAGAGCTGGGGTTTGGTCTTGAGCTGGGGTTTTGCAGTGGAGGGTCCCGTTGCAGCCGAGGGTCCCTTTGCACTTGAGGATGATCTGGAGAAAGTGTCGGAGGGAAAGTGACAGGAACACAAGGGAGCCAGTGGTCTGGGGTTCTGGGTTCCTGAACCTCAAGAAGCAAAATAAAGAGGGAACCCAGGCACCCTGACCTCCGCCTTCTCTCCTTGACCCCAGGGTCTGCCGGAGCTGCTGGTGAAGCGGGTGATGGCCCAGCTAGCCGGAGCCCTGGACTTCCTCCATAGCCGGGGGCTGGTCCACGCAGACGTGAAGCCCGACAACGTGCTGGTGTTTGACCCCGGCTGCAGCCGCGTGGCCCTAGGAGACCTGGGGCTGACCCGGCCCGAGGGCAGTCCCACCCCTCCCCCGCCGGGGCCACTGCCCTCCGCCCCACCGGAGCTCTGTCTCCTGCTGCCCCCTGACACGCTGCCCCTCCGACCGTCCCTGGACTCCTGGGGTCTGGGGGTGCTTCTCTTCTGCGCGGCCACAGCCTGTTTCCCGTGGGACGTGGCCTTGGCCCCCGACCCCGAGTTCGAGGCCTTTGCTGGCTGGATGACCACCAGGCCTCAGCCACCTCAACCGCCGCCCCCCTGGGACCAGTTCGCAGCCCCGGCTCTGGCCCTGCTCCGGGGGCTTCTGGACCTGGATCCTGAGACCAGGAGCTCCCCACTGGCTGTCCTGAACTTCCTGGGGGATGACTGGGGGCTGCAGGGGGACAGAGGGGCACCTGGGGACTTGGGGGGTATGTCCGGTGAGGATGGGGAAGAGGAGGAGGAGGGGGGGTCAAGCCTGGAGGAGTGGACAGAGGAGGAGGAGGACGGTGACCAAGGTGGCGGGAGGATGGGGACAGATGGGGGAACTCCCAGACCAGGTGACTGAGACAGGTGGCCAGAGCCTGAGCCAAAGTCCCCTCCCCCAGCCTCCACCGCCACCTGGATGGAGAGACAGCTGCTTGGGTGAGGACGGAGAGGGAATACATTGCATGTCTCCCTCTCTGCTGGAAGCCAGACTTGGGTGCACCCTCCCTACTGAGGACCTGGGAGCCCAGGACCCTTGTCCCCTCCTCCCTCAGACCCAGGGGGGCCCTGGCCCCCAGCCCCTCCTCCCCAAGCACCCTCCCTTTTCCTTCTCTCCTGAATGTGTCTGCTTGAACAAAGGCGCTGTTTCCCCTGTAGATGCATTTCTGCGCTGCGGGGACCTAAGAGTCCTGACGAGGCCCCTCCTCTCCTCTAAGATCTTGCATGACTCCCACTGTCCGCGGCACCAAATCTGGACTTGCAGGATCTGACACCTTGGAAACTTCCGCCTCCGCTCACCTGCCCCACGTCCCTGAGCCCCGGATAACTCTGGGGGAGCCCCGCATCCTTTGTGGGCCTGAACCTGCACGCACGCACGTGCACGCACGCACACACCTACACGCACGCACGTGCACGCAGGGGCGCAGCTTCGCAGGTCCTGGGTTCCTTTCCCCGGCAGCGCCCTCCTGCGCCCTCTCCGGCCCCGCCGGGAACTGCACCCGAGCGCGGGTCGGGCCTCCCTGCGCTCCCGGCCTCTCTCGGGCGCTCCAACGAGGCCTTGGTCTCCTGTCCCTACGTTCCGCTCACTTCTGCCCCCACATTCGAGCGCCCCGCGCCTGCTCGCACCCACAGAGCACGTGGCAGGTGGCCGCCCCGGCTCAGGGGCACCCTGGCCTGGATGGCTCTCCAGCACCCAACGGAGCAGCCCTGCCCCAGGCTAGGGACTTTGGCAGGGACTGTGTTTACTCCCGTGACGCTGCCCTGCGTGCTTTTGTAAAAAAATAAATAAATAAAATGTGGGTTCACTCAACGCAACTCCCGTGTCCTGGGCTGAACCCTGAGGCAGAAAGAGGTTGTTGGCAGAAAGGCCCAGGGAGATAAGACGCGTTTGATCGAGAATGTCTGGCCTTGGACAAATGCGCCCTTGGCCGAGAGTCCCTGGCCCGGTGGGGGCGTGGGCGAGGGGACACGGGAGTGCTCAGCCCCATGTTTGCAACTGTTCTAAAAATCTAAAGGTATTAAGTAAAAGCTGATTTTAAAAGAATTGAGTCTGCATCTGTCACCTCGCTGTAAACCTGAGTGGTGGGTGCAACCGCACAGGCGCGCAATCCGCCTCGCTCAGACCCGGGTCCCGGGCGCAGCTTCCCCCCAAGCGTGAGGTCTAAGGGCTCAGCTTCTGACCCTCCTGCCCCCCTCCCCTCACGCCCCTCTCTTCCCAGTTGTCCAGCACCTGCTTCCCCTCGGCCCCAAGTCTGAGGTCATCTCTCACGGCATCATTCTGGAATCCCGTTGTCTCATCCTCTCCCCAAAGGCACCCCAGTGTGTGGTCCCCAGGACACCCGTCAGCAACACTTGTGTCTGACCTGTCATTGGGGGGCTGATTGGGAGCTGGGGGCCGGGGGGGGGGGGCGGGCGGTAAGGTCAAGGCAGGGGCTCCGCAGAGAAATGACTTCACCCTCTACAGGTGGTCCTGCCTCCTGGGCCCGAGGTGGGGGGAGGGGCAGAGGGCCTGGACTCCTGGGTCTGAGGGAGGAGGGGGCTGGGGGTCCCCTGGGTTGGATGGATGCGACACTGAGCTCCCAGGTCTGGGACATTTGTCCAGCCACAGCCATTTCTGGGAGTCAACACACGATGTCGCTCTGTCCCTAGTGGGATGGAGGGGGCGGGGCCAGGGGCGGGCTTAAGACCCCTAGGTGGGGGCGGGGTCTTGCTCCTGGGCAGGCCTCTGCTGGCATCGGCTCTAAGTGCTGGACACTGACCACAGCGGGCAGCCGAAGGGTCAGGCAAGCCTTGGAGAAGGTGAGATCCGGAGGTCGGAGGCCAGGTCAGGAGGGGGCAAGGGTTAACGGGGCTGACGTGGACAGCACCTGAGAGTGAAGCTAGGCAGGTGGTCAGCGTCCTGGGTCCCTCGGGGCAGCAGGAGCTGGATGTTAAGGCTGGAGAGTGGTTGAGTGTTAGGGACACGGAGTCTGGGGGGTCTCAAGATGCGTGAGCTGTATAGGTGACAGGAGAGACAGGACCAGGGTCCCTGACTCCTGGGTCTGAGGGAGGAGGGGCTGGGGGACTGGGCTCTGGGGTCTGAGGGAGAAGGGGCTGGGGGTCCTAAGCTCCTGGGTCTGAGGGAGAAGGGCCCGGGGACCTGGACTCCTGCGTGTGAGGGAGGTCTCTGGCACGGTCCCTCGTGACTCAGTCTCCCTCTCCATCAGAGGCATTTGACCAGCGGGGAAACTAGTTTCCAGTTGGGGTGAGGTCAAGCCCGAGATCACAGATGTCCCTCCCCCCGCCCCCACAGCCACCCGATGGCCCGAGGGTGAAAGATGAACCAGATAACTCGAGACACCCCCATCTTGTTTCCAAAGCAAACAGACTTGGGCCCAGGGGGTGGATGAGCAGCCTCTTTCTCCTAAGCACGCAAACAGGTGCTCTCTGGCCCCCGGGGGCCGGGGAGGGCGGGGCCGTGCACACCAGGGCCCGGGGGACGCCTGGGTCCCAAGCAGCAGCCAAGCACCTGGGAGCCGTTCCCCAGGCCCCTGAGAGGCCTGGGGTCCAACTCTTGCAGCCCCAGCCCCTCCTCCCTCAGGCTGAGAGTCCAGGCCTCCGGCCCTTCCACGCTAGGGTCTGGGTCACCCTCTGCGCTCTGCCCTGCAGACATGCAGGGAAAACAGCCCGAGGGGCAGCAGATGGAGGAAGGGGCAGCTGAGAACGGAGCTGAGGAGGACCTGGGGGGTCTCACAGTGGAGGAGCTGCAGCAAGGCCAGGAGGCGGCGCTGGCCCTGGAAGACATGCTGGCCCTGAGCGCCCAGACCCTGGTCCAGGCTGAGGTGGACGAGCTCTACCAGCAAGTGCGCCCCCTGGGCCAGGGCCGCTTCGGCCGGGTCCTGCTGGTCACCCACCGGCAGAAAGGTACTGGGCCTGGGGACAGAGGTGGGGGGTGCAGGGGGGTGGAGGCACTGGCCCCGGCGGAGACCGGCCGGGGCCGCGGAGCCCGCAGAGCTGAATCCGTCTGGCCCCTGCCATCCGAGCTGTGAGTTCTCGGCACAGGCTCTCTGAGCGCAGGCCATGCCTGTCATTGCCGGGACCACCGGGAGCAGAGGTCCCCCACCCCGTGCGCCGCACAGGTGGCCGGCTCAGCGGATACTGGAAGGATGCGCCTAAGCCAGGGTGTGAGTTGGGGACCTAGCAAGGCTGGACACCCGGCCCCGACCTGGGCTCTTTCTGCCTGGTGTGTGCACGCCTTTTGCGCCCCGCCCCCCGCATGACACTGAGACACTATGGGTGGCACTTGGAATCAGTGTCAGTCCAGCCTCACCTTCTGCATTCCCCTGGGGGTTCAGCCTACCCTGGGTGGTGCTGGGGACCCAGACGGGGGTCTGTAAGCCTGCCTGGAGCCCCCGGGGCTGCCCCAGAGCCAGAGCCAGGGCCCCTGGAAGAGCAGGAATCTATTTCCTCCTGGTCCTGGGGGCTGGAAGTCCGAGGTGAAGGTGTGAGCAGGGTCAGTTCCTCCTGAGGCCTCTCTCCTTGGCTTGTAGATGGCCGTGTCCTCCTGGGTCCTCGCGTGGTCGCCCCTCTGTGAGTGCCTGTGCCCTAACATCCCCAGATTGGACTAGGGACCACCCTCTGACTTCATGGTGTCAGGGGTGAGGCCTTCCACATAGGAATTTGGGAGACATGATTCATCCCAGAACAAAGAAAAAGACAGACACAAACTCGGGTCATCGTAGAACTCAGAGGCGGGAGCCTCGGCAGGGCCCAAAGGGCTGTAAAGGGCGCAGGCTGAGCCGTCCTGGACGCCGGCTGGCCCAGGGGGGCAGAGCTCAGCAGAACAGAAGGGGCTGTGGGGGTGGCCGAGGCCTCTGGCTGCTGCATCCAGCAGTGGAGAGAGTGGGAGGGGGATGGTCGACATTTCAGGGGAGAAAGTCACCTTCCTCCATCACCCGGGGCCTTCCCCTGAGCGAGGCTGCACCCTGGCAGGTGTGGCAGTACAACTGCAGAGAGAGCTCAGGCTCCAGTGAGCTGTTTCCGCGGGTGATGGGACTCCTAAAAATTCCTTCAGGGAATCTAATTAATACCAGTGCTAAGCATGTTCCCCTCCACCACTGCCTGGGACAGGGCTTTTCGGCCGGAGGGTGCTGAACCCAGGAGCCGCGGTAGGTCACTGGGGGCTCCAAGTTTCGTTTCCACAGTATCAGCTCCCGGTCAACGGACTTGAAGAGGGCAGAGCGGAAGAAACTCACTAAATGCTGTTACTATGATTGAGGGTCGGCTTGGCGGGGAGGCAGGAATTGGAGGAGGTGGAGATGGGGTATGAAGAAGACGCTTGCTGGCCAGCCAGCAAGGGTGACCCCCCCTCCGCTCCCACTGTCCCCACACCCGTCTCTGCCCCCACCCCAGGCACGCCCCTGGCGCTGAAGCAGCTCCCGAAGACCTCCACTTCCCTCCGCGGCTTCCTGTACGAGTTCTGCGTGGGCCTCTCGCTGGGCACGCACCCGGCCGTGGTGGCGGCCTATGGCATCGCCATCGAGTCCGCCGACTCCTACAGCTTCCTGACCGAGCCCGTCCTGCACGGGGACCTCATCACCCTCATCCAGCCCAAGGTGGGGTACACAGAGCCCCAGGGGGTCCCCGGGCATCTCCCTGGGTCTCTCGGAAGTGACCCTGACCTGTCTGGACGCAGAGAGCACACTCACCAGATTGAGTCTCAGCAGGCCTGCTGGCCTCTGACGCCCCTTGTCGGGTCCACAGGTGTCACGGAACTGCCAGTCCCCTGTGGGGTTTGCTCACACCACGGAGCTGACACTTTGACCCCTGGACCCACCGGCCCTCCTGAAGTCACGCTGGCCCCCACCACACCTCGCGGGGCTTCAGGGGGCCACACCAGGGCTCACCGGGCCAACCTATTAGAGGCCCTTCCTGCTCCTGGGCCTGCTCCCTGGGGAGAAGCTGTATCCCCGGGAGGGACAGCGGCCCTGACCGATGCGTCTGCCCCGCAGGTGGGCCTCCCGCATTCCGCAGCCCAGCGCTGCGCGGCCCAGCTGGCCTCCGCCCTGGAGTACATTCACTCCCACGGCCTGGTGTACCGCGACATCAAGCCCGAGAACGTGCTGGTGTGCGACCCGGACTGCCGGCGGGTGAAGCTCACCGACTTCGGCCACACGCGGCCCCGCGGGACGCTGCTCCGCCTGACCGGGCCGCCCATCCCCTACACGGCCCCCGAGCTCTGCGCGCCCCCGCCCCTGCCCGAGGGCCTGCCCATCCAGCCTGCCCTGGACGCTTGGGCGCTGGGGGTCCTGCTGTTCTGCCTTCTCACCGGCTACTTCCCCTGGGACCAGCCCCTGGCCGAGGCCGACCCCTTTTACGAGGACTTCCTCCTCTGGCAGACCTCGGGCCAGCCGGAGGACCGGCCCCAGCCCTGGGTGGGCCTGACGCCGGCCGCAGACACCCTCCTGTGGGGGCTGCTGGACCCCCACCCCCGCAAGAGGAGCTCTGTGACCTCCGTCCAGGGCTACCTGGGACGGCCCTGGAGGCAGCGGGACGGGGAGGCTGAAGAGGTGGACGAGGGGGGTGGGAAGGGTGGGGAGTGAGAAGGGCAGGGGCAGCCGGGCCCACACTTGCCCCGGAGGCTTGGAGGGGAAACCCAGTCCCACATCCCGAGGTCTCCTGGGCATTCCCGTGGCGGCCTTGGGCTTCTCTCCTGCCTGGTTTGGTTTCTGTCTCTTTGCTTTTCCCTTTCTGTCTCCCATCTCCCTGCCTGGGCCTGTGGGGGTCTGAGGTCCCTACATGCCCATGCCCGCCTGTCTCCATGGCCCCAGGGCCTTTGCACTGGCTGCCTCCTTTGCCCGCGGTGCCTGTGGCTCACACCCTCACCGCCTGCAAACTTGAAATGCTTGCCCCTCTGTTCTCCTGGGGCCACACCCCCTGCCCTGGGCGGCACTGCAGGGCCCCCCCAACGTAGAGCTCCCACCAAATCTCCTCTGTGATACTCAGTCCCCTGAGGTTCGCCTGCGTCCTGCGTAGCGTGAGATCCTGGGCGGCGGGGAGCCTGGCCTGTCCTGTCCTCCGATGTGACCCTCGCGGCCCAGGCCGCCCTGGCCGGGGTGGGTGGGCAGCAAAGGCTTGTTGGACAAACGGACCCCTGTGGCTTTGCAGCCCCTGGCGCTCCCTCACCCCTGTCTCCTCCCCTCGGGTCTCCCTGGCTCCCCGGCACTTCCCCCGCCTCCTCCCACAGGCCGGGCGACGCCCTCCCAACAAGGTGGTTTCTCCTCTCAGCCCAGCCACTGTCTGCAAATAAAGTCCAGACTTCGGTCTCTTTACGCGTGTTGGTCTGTCCGCTTGAGAAAAGGAAGGATGTTGTGTGTGTGTGTGCGTGCGTGTGTGTGTGTGTGTGCACCAGCAGGAACACTGTGCACAAGGGGGAGAACAGAGAGATGCAGCACCCTGCCCCGGTGCCAGTGCGGGAGGCTGGCTCTGGGTGCGCTGTGTGTGTCGGGGGGCAAGGCCGCTGCGTCGGGGTCTCCGGGGCCCATTTCTGCACATCCGGGTGTGGGAGGAGCCAGATTAAAGGGACCCTGAAGGTGCCTGGCAGTGGGTGGCCCGGCACAGAAGCTGGGCTGCAGCGTGCGTTTCCGTGTATCTGCGAGTGCATGCGTGTCTGAGCCTGTGTGTGTGGCCACAGTGTGAACGTGTGAGCAGGGCCGGAATGGAAGCTGGAGTGCGAGTCCCGCTCAGTGTGTGGACATCAGATCGGTCTCTGTGCGCCCATGAGGCTGCAAGTGCGTGTGTGGCAAGGGGAGGCCAGTCACCCGGGCGGGCTGGCGCCGCCGCCAGTCACCAGCTGGGCCCCTGCCCCTTCACACCTCCCCCCTCTCCCGGCCCCTCTTGGCAGCCGCCCTGTTTGCAAACACTCTGTCTTCCTCTCCGTGCCCTGCTTGGCCGCCAGCCCAGCACAAGGCTACAACCAGAGCTGGATCAGGTGTCACTCTCTGCTTGGCCTCTGTACGCACACGCCGGTGCCCGGGGGGTAGTGTGTGACGGTGTGTGCCGAGTGACCCCGAGGGCCCTTTGAATCGAGGTGCAATTCAGAGAACTGGGGACACGGGCCCGTCGTGGGCAATCCAGGTGAGCTTCCTGGAGTAGGGGTCACTGCAGGGGGGGGTAGGCACACTGTGGGAGAGCATGATTAGGACCTCCTGCCACCTTATCCATGAATCTGAAATAGCCCTGGCAATTAGGCCAAGAATGTGTCCCAAAAAAGCTGCAGGTGCCAGAAAAGGGTGGTGCTGGGGGAGAGTGAGTGGCGATGAGCAGAGGGGCAGGGGGTGGCTGTAGACGGTGTTAATTAGTGACAGCAGCTGAGGATTAACTGGGAGGTGACAATGACTGGGATGGGGCCCAGGGGCAGGGGAGGACAGAAATGCCCAGGAAGGGCCTGGGGGGTGAGGGGGGCGATACTAATGAACTCTTAGTTAGTTGACACCTAATACTAGTTGTAACACTTAGTACTAATGCCGCAGCTCCTCCTCAGGTAGCTTCCAGGCAGGCACATCTGCTGGGTCCCTCAGAGCCCGTGACAGGTCAACAGGGACAGTCCACTGCAGCCAAGGTGCCAGCAGGTCAGGGCAGCGGTGGGACTCGAACCTGGGGCAGCTCCTGTGCAGGGCTCAGCTCTTAAGTGTCAGAGTCATCCCCACTGTCATCAGCAGGCGAAGGGGCCTTGGGTGGGGGGCTCGGGGTGTGTGTGTGTGTGTATGAGTGTGCATCAGCATGAGTGTGAGTGTGTCTCTGTGTGAGAGCAAGTCTGCTGCAAGAGCATGAAAGTGCGTGTACCAACATGTGTGTGCACGAGCACGTAAGAGTATGAGTGTGTAGGTGTGAGTGAGCAGGAGTGTGTGTGCACATGTGAGTGTGACCGTGTGTGTAAACATGAGAGTTCCAGAGTGTGACTGTGAAGGAGTGCGAGTGAGCATGAGCGAGACAGTGAGTGTGCATTTGTGTGTAAGAACATGGAGGTGTGTGTGAGACTGCAGGTGAGGTGGTGTGGGCGTGCGTCTGTGCGTTGGTGCGGTGGCCGCACCTCCCTTGCAGGAGGCTGGAGTGGGGGCACCCAAATGAAGACAGAAAGTGGGGGCTGCAAAAGCCCTCAGACCCACGGGAGGGCCTTCATCAAAAGGCAGGCAAAGGCAGACACTGGTGAGGACGAGGACAAGGACAAGGGTGACTGCAGTGCTGCTGGGGTGGGGTAAAGGGGGCAGCTGTTGGGGGAGACACCGTGTGCAGGTCCTCCTCACGTTAGACGCAGAGGTACCACGTGGCCTAGCAATTCCGCTCCTCCCGGGTCTCCGCCCACAGAAATGGAAACATCAGTCCCTGTGAATGTAACATGATTCGTAGCAACATTCTTCACAGTAGCCAACAATGGAAACAACCCGGAGTTCACTGGTACTCATCACCAAATGAACGGATACCTGAAATGTGGTCCGTCCACCCGATGGAATATCACGCCCCCATAATAGAGCCCTGATGGGTGCTGAGTCATGGACGGACCTCGGAAACATCTTGAAGGGAAAGGAGGCACCACAGGACACAATCTGATGCAGGATTCCGCTTATATGAAAGGTGCAGAGTAGGCAAATCCGCAGAGATTAGTGACTGTCGGGGGCGGGGGTGCTGGGGGTGACAGCTAATGGTACAGGTTTTTCTCTTTGCGGGTGGTGGGGATGGTGAGAAAGTTATAAAATTAGATTGTGGTGAGTGTTGTGCAATCCTCAGAATATATTAAAAACCACCGGGCCCTGGCTGGCGTAGCTCAGTGGATTGAGCGTGGGTCTGTGAACCAAAGGATTGCGGTTCGATTCCCACTCAGGGCACATGCCTGGGTTGCAGGCTAGTTCCTAGCAGGGGACACACGAGAGGCAACCATACATTGGTATTTCTCTCTGTCTCCCCTTCCCCTCTAAAGATAAATAAATAAATAATTTAAAAAAAACCCACTGAGTTAGACATGTAAAGATTTAGGGTTAATTTGATGGCATGTAAATTTCACTTCAATAAGCCTGCTTAAAACAGACAAATAGGCATTTCCAAGTTTCCCCTGCTGTTTCCTCCCCCCCCCACACACACACACACTGACCTTGTAATTGTAGTTGAAAAGAAAAACCCACCCTGGCTGGTGTGGCTCAGTGGATTGAACACTGGCCTGGGAACCAAAGTGTTACCAGTTCGATTCCCAGTCAGGGAACATGCCTGGGTTACAAACCAGGTCCCCAGTAGGGGGCGCACAAAAGGCAACCACACACTGATGTTTTTCTCTCTCTCTATAAATAAATCAAAAAAATCTTTAAAAAATAAAAGAAAAGAAAAAGCTCTCTCATGCACTGTGAACCGTAGGACCCACTACTCCCTACTTGTAGAAGAGACCCCCGCAGGAAACCCACTGTTCAAAGATCCTAAAGCCAAAAAATGATGTCAGTCTGGGTCCAGCCTCAGCTCTGGCCTGATTCCCAACACCCCTCCCTACACAGCACCCCTAAAATGCACCTGGGCTGGTGATTGCCAAGGCAGTGCTGGGGTTCCCCCAGCTAGGGAACCCCCACACTTGCACACGAGACCAATTACTACATTCATGGGTGTCCATCAAAAATGTGTGCGTGGAGGGTTATTTTAAAGATTTCATTCACTTATTTTTAGACAGAGGAGAAGGGAAGGAGAAAGAGGGAGAGGAACATCAAAGCGTGGTTGCCTCTCATGCGCCCCCTACTGGGGACCTGGCCCGGAACCCAGGCATGTGCCCTGACTGGGAATCGAACCGGTGACCCTTTCATTTGCAGCCTGGCACTCAATCCACTGAGCCACACCAGCCAGGGCAGGATTTTTTTTTTTAATTCTAACAAAGAACGATGGGAAAAACGCTTTCTCTTTCTCCCCTCTCTGTCTCTACCACATCCCCGTATCTGTCTGTCTGTCTCTATTTGTTGTTGAGTATGGTTCTCTCTGGCAGACCCTCGAGGAAGCGGGGGATTCAGGCACCTGCCTGGGGGCAGAAGGAAGGCCAGGGACCCGGGACTTTGCAGGAGCTGGGGCTCCGGACTCCCAGAGCACACTCCATTGTCCCACCGACCTCACTTACAAACCACAAGGTCAAAACCCCAGAAGACGTCAGGGCCAAGACACAGAGCAGAGAGTGGAGCCTGCGGCAGAACCCCGCCGCCGCAGCCCAATTGCGGGACAGCGCTTCCTGGAGGCCTCCGTGGACACCGTCTTGTTCAGTGCTGGCCGCAGGCATGACGGGGACGTCAGCAGCATTCCACGAACCACCCACCCAGGCTGTTCACATGCACAGCCTGATCGAGGGGGTGGGCTGGGGGGGCGCCCAAAATTCTGCTTTTTGGACCAGCTCCGGTCCCCAGCTTGCACTGCAGGTGCAGGGAGCTGGGAGGACTCGTTTCCAGAGCACCGATCCGACGCCCTAGTGGAACCGCCAGAAACACGGACCGGGGCCACTTGATCCTTTGGTGTTTTCTGTGGGGACAGTCGTACTACCCATGGGAAGTGACGGGTCCAGACCGCCCTGTCTCTGATAACGGGGTGGCCCTCTGCTCCGGCGTGGCTGAGAGAGAGCGTGTGTGCATGGCTGTCACCCGGGAACGTGGCTCCTGCCTCGCCGAGCTCGCTAGGCCCCTGCAGGCACTGTTCTCCGCTTGTTGCGAGCTGGCGGGCACAGCACCCGGCTCAGCTGT